GGACCTGAATAAGCTTTTAGAAGATCAGTAGATGGATGATTTACTGGAACTGTTCAGGTCCTCGCTGAATGCACCAGAACGAGACTTATCAAACATCAAATTTTAGCCTTCGGCTACAATGCACCGTCTGCTGTCAGGTGGGTAGAAAATGGTTAAATTCTTCCAGAGTTTTGGCAGGTGCTGATTCTGTATTCTGGATCTCCACAACACTTGACGATCTGGTTTTACTGTTCCCGTCCAAGCAGCAGTTTATTTTCTGGAAAACCTTTCTTCCTTCTTAAGGACACAGTTTGGAGATCAAGGTCTATCAATGTCAAGAGCTCATTAAATGCAGGAATGCAGAGAGTGTTACTCCGCAGGTCAACACATTTAGAATCCAAATACATGAATTTCTTGTATTAGAGGGTGCAGAAAGGGACAAACTATACTGCTTATTTTGTTGGCCTTGATATTGTGAGAATAGTCCTGGTGAATATTTCATGCCATAGTGGAAAATTCCATGATTCTCCCTTCCTTCCTCCCTCCCTTCCTCTCTCCCTCCCTTTCTGTTTTACCTTCTTCATCTCTTACCTACTTTGGTTTGCTTTCTGAACTATGGCAGACTGTTAACAGTAGCATCAAAGTTTAATCTAAACTACAAGAAAAATGAAATTGACCTTTGCCCCCTCCTGAATTTACAGTGTTTTCCCAGTGAGTGTGCACTCTTTACGCTGCTTCCCATTCCAATTCAGGACAGGAAACACTGTAATGTGAAATATGTGCGTGCTGAAGAATGAGCAGTATTGCAAATGTATAATCAGAGTTTTCGTGTTGGCACTGATGGGACAATGCCAACCAAGTTGCAGCTATTTAGATGCCTAGCAGAAGATGTTTTCCAGCTGAAGCACAGGAATTTAGCGCACAGAATGTGTTGGGCCGAGTCAGTACATGTTTTTGTCATCTCAGATGACTGTTGCGTCTGTTGCTTTCCTGTCCTGAGGTGCTAAGTCACTGGGATCTACTTACAGGGATGTAAAGCTTAGTGAAACCAGTGCCGTGATGTCACATTTTTAACCACACTTTGTTTAGAGGTGTTTTCCAAAAAATGCCTTTTGAATTTTGATATCATATTATGTATCTTGAATATCGTGCGCCGATGAAACACAGTGATTGTGTCTTCCGCCTGTAGATGTTGTTTTCGAGAGACATGATGTGTTTCGTGCCCCCAGCTGGTTCTCAGTGTTTCAGCATTTGGGGACTTTTGCATTTTTCTGTTATAAACAAAACAGACAATACTTGCAAAGACAAAGCCACACCTGCGCCCTTTAATTGAGACTTACAATTTTCCCTTACCTGCCTGGCAGTGATGTGGGTGTGACCCTAGCAGTGCTACCTTTGCCCCGAGCCCACATCTGATGTCTTACATTTGGACCATACAGAGGAGAGACAGGTGGGACAAACGACTATGGGAGGTGAGTGTCATGTGAACGGTTTAGACACCGGCACACACGCATGTACCTGCATGTTCACATATGTGACTTCGTTGCTGCGTTTCTCTTTAATTGCGCTGAATGGTTGTATTGCAATAAACACTAACTTAGCCTAAGACGAAACCTAAGAAAAATAAAAATGTTATTCTCATATGCTGTTTTTCCACCAAATTTGTCCTCAGAAAGACAGTAAGGTAACACTTAAGGCCGTATTTTTAGTAATTCATTAATACATTCATAATGCATTAATAAAACATTATAAACATAGCTATACATATTTATAAAAAGCCATAACACATTATAGCCATGTTTATTATGCGTTATGACTGCATTATGAAGCTCCCATCTATATTGCCCTATAGATACCTGTATAATGCAAGTGTAAGCATTTAGGATGCTCTGTACATTATAATGGTATCTATAGTGCATTATAGATGAGAGCTTCATAAGTCAGTCATAAGGCATAATAAACATGGCTATAATGTGTTATGGCTTTTTATAAATATGTACAGCTATGTTTATAATGCTTTAAGAGTGCATTATTATTTTACCAACCGTAAAATCTGATTTAAAAGCCCAGGTTTACTGAAAATATATTTTAAATAATACTCCACACTATTGTTGTTTATTCAAATCCATGGTGTAGTAGAGTTATGAATGTTAGTGCTCCACAGAGGTCGCCACAGTGTGCTCTGGGAGCTCAGCTTGCTCTGTCACGGTTGCCAGATGCCCTGCCTGGACTTTCAGTGCAGCAGAAGCTGACACCCCTTTCAGAGCTGCTACATTCACAGGCAGGGAAGGGGTTGCCATTTGGCACCAAGCACTGCAGTTACCGATATGCCGACGGGGTCCGTTTGCACGTCCGCGCCCTCTCTGCCACGCACGTGCAGTTCTGCGTTATTCATCAGCTAACCCTCCCCCTGTGGTCTTTACCAGACTTTCTGCTCTACAGTCCTGGTACTTGGCCTGGCTGGTCCGTTGGCTCAGAATTTTCCTCTGGGCATCTGGTATCCCTCAGCAGAAATATATGGTTGAGTACATCTCCATTTACACATTTTACATTGTTCTATAATTCAATCCCATTGCATTCCCGTGTATTCTGTAACTGGAGTCAGGGTTATAGTGGTGGTGGAGGAGGGCACACACACACACGCGCACACACACACACACACGCGCACACACACACGCACACACACACGCACACACACGCACACACACACGCGCACACACACACGCGCTCATAGGCATCAGAACACATTTTGAGCTCAGGATGCCGAAAGTCGTAACGACCAATAGACTTTACTGAAGCTCTTTTGTATCATTGGTTGCTATCAACAGCTAAGAACAAGATAACAAGCATGGAGACATAAACCAACTACAACCACTCTCACTGCATCAGCAACATGAACCGCAACCTGATTGCCAAGGTAACGAATTGCAATAAACATTGGGCCACACTTGGAAATGGGGAGCTATTGATCGTGACAACTTAATAGCAAACCACCTCATTTTGCAATCAAAAAATGCCTTGCATTGCATAGCGACAGCTTTGTTTTTAAACAGCCACAGAGAGCATTCTGACACTGCACTACCACCAACATCCTGGGGGGGTGCTAAAGCATCCCTACCCCCAGTATTACTAAACACTAGGTGCACACACACAAAGCAGAGACCCTGATCCAGTCCCCCAGACCTGGAGGTGTGAGACAGCAGTGCTACCCCCTGAGTCACTGTGCCACCTCTCCATTACATTCCTCTTATCTCTAAAACGTTTGGTAATTCACCACTGCCTATTCTGCAAAGGGAGGGTTCTAATTTCAGTCCACATGCTGTGATGTTGTTTTCAAATGACACCACAGCAGAAATAAAACACATCATCACCACTCTCCCCACTCTGTGCTTGTGACATTCCATGTAGTTTAACGAGACGCAGCCACGGAGACTGGAGGAATTTGTTTCCTTGTCAAAAATAGCCATTCTGGATGCGTCGCTGCATTCCTATTTGTTTGGAGGGAGGGTACTTTTCCCCGGAGCCCGCAACAACCTCCTCTCTTGTACAGCTCCGCTGCTTTGACTGCCCCTTGTGGTTGCGATGCTGCCAAAGATGTCGGAATAGTTTGGTGTTGAACTGAAGAGTCTGCCCAAATTGGATCTTTTTTTTTTCAGCTCGTCTGAATATTTGAGACTGGCTAGAGAGATGGCCAGATGTATTTCAGTTATTTATAATGAGCGATTTTATTTATGTTCAATCACGTTTTATTCGGTGCTGCAGAGAGTAGTTTCTGCAGACTTTCCTATAACTGCTCTGCTTCTCTCACTCAGCCACCTTCTCACCTTCAGACAGGTCAGGTTTCGTTACCTTTTCTTTGGGTTAAGTGGCTGATCAAGTCAGAACACTAAGGTGATTACTTAACATCAACAGCAGCCACTCCTGAGGGCCAACTAAGCCAAGCAGCATTTGGCATTTCATTCCAGGAACTGATTCCTGAAGCTGTTCATAGAAAGTATTCATTGTGAATTGTCATCTTGCTGATAGAAGGACTCACGTGTATCTCTGTTGTGATCATGTTGCAATCGGAGCCTGACGTGCATGCTGTGCGTAATTGCACAATATATTGCGTTACTGCGGTATCACAATGCTTTGCTGTTGCTAGGGTCATTGGGTTCAGGTTGCTGTGAGTTTAATTCTAAGGATGACTTGATTTTTTTCATCAGTGGAAACGTTCTAGAGTCAAGCTGCTGCATCTCTGCAGTTCATAGTTCTTAGTTCTCTCTTGTCAGTAGGCTCTTCTTCAATGTCTGAAATACTGGGAAGACAGGGATGGGTCACAAGCTTTCATATCAACTCACTTCTGCTTATTTAAGATAGTAGCTGCCATAATAATCTGTTGAATGGTTCTTCTAAGTTTGTGAATGCTCTTTGCCTTTTCCTGAGCAAACCTTCACTTGTGGTTCCTGTCAGTAGACTAGCTTTCGTTTGTTGTTTAAAATCTGGAATTATAAATGACTTGTAACTAAGGAAACACTAGTTGTTTTCTTGTTGACAGAGATAATGGATCATGATTGAAGTGCTGTCACAATGCCCAGCTATTTCTGTAGGAATTTTCTGGTATGTTTTCAGACTTGCTCCAGGTTCATCCACACCCCAGAGATGAGTGTATTGGCAACACTAAGGACAACAGAGCCCCAGTGAGCATTAGGTCTCAAGCTTGCAAGGTATTTTCATGTGATTGGCTGGGAAGTCAAATGGAATAAAATTGGGGTACGATTGCACTGGCATCACACGGAGTTATGGTTCTCCGTCCCGTGTATTTGTCCCTGCTGTGGCTCTAAATGTTCTACCTCAACATTATCGACTAGAACAGCGGTCCCTAACTTTCATCAGCAACACCAAGTCAAGATCCACTGCAGGCCTGTATCCAGATTTTGTCAACTGAGGGATCACAGCTTTTTTTTTGGGGGGGTGAGGTGGGTTCATGCATATCATTTTACTACATGGTGGTGAGCCAGGACGGAAGCAGACAAATTATGTGGGGGGATTCAAACCCATGATTTTATTATGTGGCTACATGCCAGGTCCACTGAATCCGGTTAGTGGACTGGTGGGGGCCAGTCGATCATGCAGTTCGGATTCAATTGTAGTTTGGTCTGGATGTGGAGTGGAGTCCACTGGTCTAAAACATTCCGTGTTCCATGAGGACTCCTCATCTCAGCTCCAAGTGACAGATGTCAGTCATCCTCAGTGGTAGCAGGCGACAGGCGGTCCCGCTGGGGGCAGATTCACAGTGGCTGGTTTCATGCTCAGTGGGACGGTGATGCCACGGTTTTGGTTGCGGGACGTGGATGGCGAAGGCACAGAAACCACACATCTCTCTTTGTTCCCCCTGAATCGTGTCACTGTGTTTGAGGGGCAGGGCAGATAACAAGGCGCCTGTCATTCTGTCATACCCTGGGGTTACATGTGGCATCCCCCGTCCGCCCAAGTGTTAAATTCCATCAGGAGAACAAAAAACTCTGCAGCAGAACCAGAACAGGGCACACACAACATTACCCCCTTTGCGAGCACTTTCAGCTGATCTCACACAACAGATACTTAGACGTCGATTCTGCCATCTGGTGGAAAGGCAGCAAATACGCTTACAAACTCATGGCAAACAGAGATCAGCCTCGAGGAATTACAGTACGAGTAAGTTACGAGTAAGTCGTGTAAATTGCTGGATCTATCCATTAATCCATCCGTTTTCTACCCTATCGAGAGCAATTTGGCTCTTAGAGCAGGTATCTCACTGTTTTGGTTTCTGGGTTGTTAGATGACACTGTTTATTGTTTTGACAGGTGATATCAGATCAGTTTTAAGAAGCAGTTCTTGTACAAAATCAGATAATTCCACAGTTGTACACACACTAGTACAATGGCAAAAAAATATACACAGGTACAAACCTTACCAGTTAGCTTTGTCTGTCTTTGTCTTCCACTTGCTGTTATTAGGGACTTGATTAATTTACATATCATACAATATTGTCCAAGCATATTGTACATCGGTAGATTTGAGAATGTTTCAAAGACCAATCGAATTGAGTAAGGAGTCTTCACGAGAAGCAGGAAGTTACTGACGGCTGTAATCACACATGCAGGGAGTCATTTGACAAACATGTTTTGTAACTGGAAATGTTAACGTCTCACTTAAAAATGTACATTTGACTTGGGATTAATTATGCTTTAAATATATGCTGTAATTATAGCTACAAGCAATATGAGTCACTGAGCAATATATTAATTTACAGTGGGAAAGCAAAATGCGTCATTGTTTGGACAAGTAGGACACAAAGGGGCAGAAAGGGACACCAGTACAACCTGGCCCTAAATTTGGGTCTGACCTGCTAATGTCCAAGCTGTGTAATGGTGGCACTGGAACTTACATTGCAGTAACTCACTGGCCCTCACCTTCCTTTCAAAGCTTCTCATATGGATTTGAACATATTGCAGTGATTGCCAGTGGCGCAGTAGGGGCATGGATACCCTGGCACAATCAGGGGGGGCAGCATACTACAGGGACCCTCAAATACAAAAAGGCAGGTGGTGGGGCCCAAGGTGACATTTTGTCAGAGGGCCCAGAATTTCCAGCTATGCCCGTGATAATCGCAGTGCCAGTGGGAGGCAAAGCATCACTGCAGATAAGTTCACTGCTGTGTACAGTACAGTGATGATACAGGATGCCTCCGGTCCCATTTTATGAAGTAATTCTTCCTAAAATCACACATTTTTAAGTTCCTTATCAAACACTGGATTCCATAGAATGCAATGACTGCTTACGTGAAAAGCTGTAAAAAATAAAGTGTTTACTAAAGCCTTTGAAATATTTTCACCTAAAGAAGAACATGAAAATATGAAGAATGGGATGAGGATTGGTGCAGGAGTAAAGTGGTAAGGACTTGTCTAAGGTTGTATTCTCCCCCATATGGAAATGACTGTGCTACAATAGATACCTTCTCATACAAAAAGAACACGATGTTCGCTATTACATTTCTCCAAGGGTGTAACTTTGGGTTGAGCATTGGGAGGGTTGTGGTCTCCACCCATTTAGGGGGATCCAGGGGGTTGTATTAGCTGGTTTTGATTATTCTGGGTGTGGGTTACAACCTCCCCACCCCACCCTATAATTTACACCCATGCATCTCTCTGTCAGGTCTGCAGTTGCCACACAAAGGCTGCCTTTAAACAAGCAACATGTTTATTTTAGTATTCAGTGTAGTGACTGTGGGAGGGGCCACAAACCTCAGGGGCCCCATGCAAATGCATGGTTTGGGTGGGGCCAAATGCTCCAGTCCAGTTTCCTCCCATAATCAAAAATGATGGCTAATGGTGAGGTAAATGGGCCGTTCTTATAAAAACGCTGCGGTCTAGACAAACTGCTATGGCTGACTTCAGACCATCGATCACCTTCCATGTCTCCTTTATAACCTAGATATATTTGGAGGGGAAATGACATGTTGTCACATACAGCTTGAGTACTGCGGTCCGCTCAGCCTCAGGTGTGTTTCATTGTACATTTATACGCACTTAATTTATGTCTCTGAGTTGCCGATAGTGTATGGTTGAACATGCCCTGTGATAGACTGCCGTTCCAGCCGGGGTGGATCCCTGCCTCAGCTTTATGCTGCCTGGGACAGACTCCAAGCGCCGCCCCGTGAGTCTAACCATGGAAAGCACAATGAAACCATAAATTTATGATTTGGATACATGATGGAAACAGATGACTAAAGACATAAGTCACCCGGCCCACATTCACGCTGTGAACCTCCACACAGCTCGCTGCCCCTGGTACCACGGGGTAAGCAACACTCACGGTAAACACGCTGGGTGACTTTGAGGAAAGAATACAGGGTACGGGCTGATAGCACATTGTTCCAAGGGGAAGGACGCGGTCAGGGTCGTACTTTGCTGTTATTCTTATTCAAACACGGCGCTGATTAAACAGTGAGCTTAACTTCTGCTGCTCAGAGTCCAGCATTTCGGTGGTATTGCTCCTCAGCCCTGCCTTTACAGCTCCTCCTGTGCCTCACAACTGTAAGTCCTTCCCATAAATTTTGCTTTTTTCCAGACAGTTTCTTCTTAAGCAAAGGCTGGTCAGTATGATGTATGTTTGAACCTGCGACTCTAGGCCTGTACTGAGTAACATGTACTTGCGACAGCTTCTCAATGATTTTGTCTCGCTGCTTATCTTCCGTTGGTCAGCAGGGTGTAAACCTCTTTTTTTTTTATTCTTAAAATATGTCTGTCAGTATATTACAACACTCCATGTCAACGTGACAACCTGCAGATTAATTTTGGGGTGAAATAACCAGCAATGCCTCTAATAACCAGCAGGTGTCACTACAACCACTAAAAGAGCCCAACATGCTCAATGTATTTTAATTATCACTCTTTTATTCTCTCGATGCCATCATTCTGCATTCACACTGCTGTTTTTGAAGGAAATGGCAGCCACGCTTGCAAACATGACGCAGCAGCTGGGCGATTTGCTGGGCCGCTCACTGGGCCAGTACTTGGACCACTGGAGACTGAACGTCACACAGGCGCAGAAGGCCCTAAACCAGCGGCTGGCAGAGGAGAACTTCCAGGATGTCATCTGGTACCTCATGGTGATGATAGGCATGCTGGCCTTCATCATTGTGGCCATGCTTGTCAGCACAGTCAAGTCCAAGCGTCATGAGCACTCCGGAGACCCTTACCACAAATACATCGAAGGAGACTGGACCACGGCCCTCAATAACCAGTACAACAAAGCCAGCTACCTGAAGTCCAACCCCATTGCCCAGAGCTACTCTCCATGACAGGTTCTGTATGCAGTTTCACATTGGCTTTGGGACATCTGAACTAATCTGATATCACACGATGTAACAGCAGTGATCCAAAAATCCATGCAAACACAACTGATAAAACTGGAATTTCCACTATGAACACATTTGTCCACTGAGATGTTCAGTCAGTCCTCCTAAAAACTCTCCTCTGGTGAACTGAAAATTTTTGAGGTTGAAATTTCACCACGAGCAGCTAAACTAAAACATTTTCAGATCTGCATAAATATGGGGAAAACTGAATTTTAATAACTTGTCGTGTAGAACGATTAAAAACTCTACGGAGCTCAAACCTCATGATACAATCCAGTTTCATTATTAGATGTTAGGAGCTCTGAGTCAAGTGTGCTGTGGTGGGGGGGGGGGGCTCAGCTTCAGCTACCGTGTCACATGATCACATAGATATGTACTTCATTTGGGGGAAAAACATTATATGCACATAGTTACTGACATAGAAACAGACAAATGATTCAGCTGATAAGGACAAACTATATCGGTGTGTTTATGCCATGTTGGCTCCTTGTCAATTGAAAATGTAGTTTCATAATCATCGTACAGTGAATGAACTGCTGCAGCCTAGTAACAGATAAAATGTAATTAAAAACTGAGCACGATGTGGCAGAGGTATGCTCAGACTGCTGGGATTTTCCCAAGCTTGTTTTTATGGCGTGTCGCGCTCATTCATCCCCATAGAGATCAGCAGTTTGTATGTGGACAGACTCATCAGTGGCGCGTCCAAAAAAAGTCACATTTACAGAATTAAAGGGCACTTGGCAGCCACATGACCAGCATCGCACTTTCATTGGCTGTCCGAGTCCCCAGCCACGCCCTCATTCCTGGGCAGACTGAGCAGCTCCTGAATCCTCTGCAGGTCTGAGTTTTGGTCCTCTCCACTGCTGCTCATCTGGCCAATCAGGTCCTCAGTCACATGCAAACGGGCATTCCTGTGGGGATCCACACGGCAGGTAGCGGTCAGCGCCTTGGGTGTCGACCATTTCACTGCAGACTAATATCACAGAGTAGTTCCAGGCACGTACCATTCTTCCAGTTTCAGCTGGTACAGCTCCCTGTGCTCTCTCCTTCGCCTCTCACGAATGGTTTCTCCCGCCAACTTCTGCATGGCCATAATCAGAACCCCTGCAGGTACCCTGCAATACATTTACACATATTGATCAGATCTTTTTGTCCAAAACAACACGCAAGCAATGCAGGCAGCACATAGCAAACAGATGTTAAGCGGCCAACTGGACAGCTAGCTGAGCTTCCAATGAAGGATGCATAACAACTGCAAATTAGCACTGGAGAAAAGAGCTAAACAATACAAAACAAAACACCGTAAAGAAACTAACGGGGAAGTTATTCAGAGACACTGTGAGGATTAAGCAAAAAATACAACAGCATCCAACAATAACCATAAAGCAATTGAGTCTTTGTCTGTGCTCCAGTGTCTTACAGGAGATCAAGATGGGATATGCAATTACTGAATAATTCCTATGCACCTGTGCATCATTCAAATAACAAAAAGAATATCTAATCTATGGAAATGTGTCCTCCGAGACAAAGCGTGTCCACAAACAGAGCTCACCCCAGCATCGATCCAATGAGTGATCCGGCAACCAGGCCCCGCAGTCCCAGGCTGAGCCTGAACAATCCTCCAGTGACAGCTGGGCATACCAGAAACAGCAGCTTGGCACGGTACAAACACACCATACAGCCAAGGTGGGGATCAGGACAGGAACATGAACTCACCCCCCGCAGCAGCGTAGTGGCTCATTGCATACTCATCCCTGTACACGGACAAGCCGGTGCTCACGGTGCTGCCCGAACACAGAGGACAGGGACAGTGAGCGCAGGGACCAGGCAATATGAAAAGGGCTACATGGCATTTTTACCTTACTTCTTGCAAATAAAACTCACTTGAAAAGGGTGACGAAGGCTGCTACTCTCCAGCTCCACCTCCATCCGTACCTGACAAACCCGCGGATGGCAGCGTTGTGAGCCGAGCGCTTGGACAACGAAACACAACCCGGTTATGACATGACATTAACATCTGACATCGGATTAACCTTGGGGATCTGCCGGTGACCCATCGGCCTCTCACCCCCCGCACTCACGATAGCGTCCACACGGCTGTGAAACACCTCTGCATGGCTCTGCTGGATGAACCTCTGGCGGGCGAGTCGGGCGGCAGGGACGCCCCCATACACCATGCCCAGAAGCGCAGCGGCCATGGCGCTTTTCAGCACGTTGGTCACCTCCTCGGAGTACGACTGCGTGTCTCTGCGGTGAGACGGTGAGAGACAGGTAAGCCGGTCCGGCCGAGCGGATACTACAATCCGCAAAGCGTGCGGACAGGGCAGGCCACGCCGTCACTCACTCCCGGTGGAAGAGGTCCTTCAGGCGCTCCCAGCCCGTCTCCGAAAGCTCTGGCTTCTCCAGACGCTGTGGAAGAGCCACCTGCATTGGCTCCGCGGCTCCAGCCGCAGAGACCCGCGGCAGCAACCGGAGACCCCCGATCAGAGAGAGGGGCCTCCACACCGGCCGCTGACATCCAGACTCATCAAGCCGCACGGCACTCCGCTCGGGTGTCTCACTCTGAAACCGAGCTGACATATTAACATTCTAGCACATCCACTGCTAGGGGACCGCAGCAGCGCTGTAGCTCGATAGAGCACCGGCGACACGCCGACCTCCAGCGGAAACCCGACCTTTATTCCGTGTCACCGAAATTGACGCAGCGGCCTCTAGCGGTGGAGGACCAGCCGCGCTGCACGACTGTAAATCAAACCACATCCCATTAGTATATTTTGTAAACAATAAACCGGCGTTATTTTTTATAATGCATTAATACCTGGCGACGATAAATACATTGTTAAAACCCACCAGTGAAGAACAGAAACAATCAAATTACAGGCATTTTTAACTGAAATGTTTTATTGTGAACACATATCAATGCATCAATCTTGAAAATGCGGAAGGGGGCTGGAGCAGCACAGCATATCTCTCTCTCTCTCTCTCTCTCTCTCTCTCTCTCACACACACACACACACACACACACACATACAGAGGTTTGTAATTATATCTTTGTGTAGGGACTCCATTCATTTCTATGGGGGAACAACATGACGACCTTAACCCCTACCCAGCCCTAACCTTAACCATAAGTAACCAAAAAAAAAAACGAGACTTTTGGCATTTTTACTTTTTTGATTGAATTCACAGATCTTTGTGGGGACCTGAAAAATGGTCCCCGCAATGTCAAAATAACAGGTTTTTATTACATTATGGGGGATACTTGGTCCCCACTGTTAAATCCATGGGTGTCATTCCTTTTTCTACTACCACTGGTCGGTGCCCCAGATTCTCAGTGTTGCAAATGTGATTATAGTTACCTTTTCTACCAGTTCTTTGCCGTTCGCAAGTTTTCAGGTCTTGGATCGCTATTTTAAGTACAGTTGGATATACTGAAACAGTCTATCGTCATCCACAAGGGGGCAATAAAATCCGTCTGAATCCAGCATATATTTAAATGGCAATTAATCCGAAATTAAAGGAAAAAAAAAACCTCTAAAAACAGAACTGTCGTATTTCAGACCAAAGCACTATATATACATTATAAGAAAACTATTTAATCTCATGTACAACCTTACACCTTTACAAAACATAAAAAAACAAGGGAACAAAAGACATATTTGGTTCTTCAGTTGCTATTCAACGACCATCTTAAGAAACTTAAGTTCCTTTGCAATTGGAGAAGACGCTCCGGATGTGGCCCTCAGCCAAAATGCAGATCCTTGGCCTGAATCGGAGTGGCTCCTGACCAACCGTCGGCGGTGGGTGTGATGCTCACAGCTCTGTATGAATGGTCTTGCTGAAGATCTGGTCGTAGGCTGCGTTCCTTTTGGGCTTGTATTTCAGCAGACGGCCAAACTCAGTGAGCAGTTTCTCCCAGTAACATGATACATCTTCCATATCCAGGTGATCCTGGATGAACTGCTGACCTCTGGCGGGAGAAAAGTGACATTCTGTATTTAAACAGGGAACTTAACACACCGTAGACAGTATAGATTGAACAAACCCAGCTAGTGCTGGGAATCTGCTAACTAATCACAACATGAGCACCATAAGACCAAAATGAAATGTCCCTTAGATCTGGGGTACAAAGAGGCATTCGAAAGCCATCCTTACCTTTTAGCCACATGATAAGCAACGTCATTGTTTTCTTTTACAAACTGGAGCAGCTCTCTGTGGAAGTAGGACATGTACAGAAAATTATGGGAAAACACAGAACAGCGAGTCCTTCCCAAAGGTGAACAAACTACTATTAGGCTAAAAATGGGACCAGAATGACTGTAAAGAAAGGTTAGAGTGTGTTTACGGAAACACTGAACCCAGTCCAGCCGTGCTGCTCTAATACCACTCAGCTGGAGCGGAACAGGTCAATTACCGGACGTCAGATAGGTCCTGCTTCACAGGAATGTAGTGGACCCAGGGCTTAAGTTGGGGATAGAAGAACTCCAGCCAGTCGTCACCCACGTGCAGCACCAAGGAGCCACAGAGGAACAGGTGCTTGAAGCGGAAGCTGGCTGCTACCCCACGGAAGTTGAACAGGTACCTGCGGATAGTAGTGGCTGAGTAGAGGGTAGAAAGTTCTGGAGGAAGGCGGTTATGAGCTTGTAGGATCCAAGGTGCTTTTGGATGTTCATTTCAAATATTTTTTTGTCCATATTTAATCATTTATATAATTGATATAAACATCAGGAGTTCATACTTGTATCTGCAATGATCTACAAGGGGTATCTCCTTGGCTGGTGGTTTGCCCAGTGTGTCCTGGTAGAGGATAAAGGAGAAGGAGTAGATGTGCATGATTACTGCTTTTCATTAATAGGGGCTGATGAAACCTACAGTTCCTCTGCAGGGAACAGGCTGGTGTTGTTATGGCAGGAAAGGCTTCACCTTCTCTGACTTCCAGGCCTGATTTTTTGTGTACTCTGCATCCACCAGCTGAGGGTCCTCCCGCGAAAGCAAGATTAGCGGGTCTCGCTCCGGACTGGTCCTACGGATCACACAACCGTCGTACACTCTCAATTCAACATCGGCAATCGATTTACGCAAGAACGAATCCAACGCTGCCAATTATTGGCGTTTGATGCTGGTCACGCTGTGAAGATGAAGACTATCAGTGTGCTATTCAGTGAGTCAAACCATTGGTCTCTCCATAATCTCTTGGGCATGCTCAGACACAGAACAACACAGACCTTGATCCCCTGAAGAAACCTTTTGATTCCTTCTCTTTCCATTGCCACTGTGCCGATGACCTGGATGGGTGAGAATGATTCCTCATTGCCTTGGTAAAAGTGCAGGGCTGTTTGTCTGATCACAAGCCTCTCATGCAGCAAGATGTGTGCTATGAATGGAGAACTGTGATTGGCTCTGCTCGCCTCTCCAACTCCTCCCTCATGAGGTCCCAGCGACCCAATCCAGTGGGGTATATGGGCCACACTGCTGGTCCACCTTCCCAAAAGGTCCAGGCAGGGTACATAATGTCATGGAAGTCCCGAGTCTAGAGACAGACAGTGCAGAGTTTACCAAGGAAACACTATTGCACAATAAAGGTTCTTTGCATGTTTGGTTATGTTACGTGGTACAAGTAGTAGCACTGAACCTGTAAACTCTGGTACACGACCACATGCATATGTGACTGTTTACCTTACTGAAGGACATGACAGGCAGGACTGGATGCATCCAGTGGCGCACATGGGGGTAATCACGCACGTTAATCACCATTTCCATGTCTGGCAAGTGGTCTATCACCTGCAGGATGAAGTGCTCCACACCGCTACACCTGCACAGGTATGGAGAGAGACGTGCACAGCCCCGTGTCATCCTGAGGCACAAAGGTCCAACGCTGAGAAACACTGACACACGCACACACCTTGCTGGGAACATGCAGCTCTGCTCACGGAATAGTTTCTTCCCGATGACCTGGTAGTGTGTCCCCACGGCCCGTTGCACGGTTTCCTGAAACACCTCTTCTGAAATTCCATCCCGGAACGGATGGAGATCGTTTTCCAGAACTCTGAGGGGCGAGATATAAGGCATGTGGGGCGTGTCTGGATAAAGTCTAAAGACATAAAAACAGTTTTTTTACATTCAAAGGCCAAAATGTGAGTTCATTTTGGGAATTAATCACGGATGTTTGATTTTGAACTGTGTTAGTTACTTTAGTGTCACACCTTGATCTTGTAACATCACTGATTATGTTGTCTTAATTTTCCTCTGCACTCCCTGTTAATCCAGGAGAATCATTTTCTTGAAGGGACATCTCAGTGGAATTTGACTCATGCACATTTGATGCCTCACACATTCACTGAGATTTTAAACTCACCTCATCAATGAAAACTGACAGGTCAAGGGAACAAGACTGAACCCAAAGAGCGTGACAAGGTGGCAGTGGTGAAGGTGACGTGACTGTGCTGGACTGCATATTACCTGAGATGACAGCTGCAGTTCTGTGGGTTACAGGGCTTGTAAGAACGAGTGGCTTCTGTGATCTTATCCAAGTAGTTTTTCCATCGTCCGCCTTTTGTAAAAAGGGAGACAAACAGTAGCGCAGTTGTGTCTTGGTAGGAGGGTATATCGTTATACATGCTAATGCGAATACACACTTATCCTCTGATTGGTATGCATTTCCGGCAGTTTATAGATGGGTATTACAGTGAATACAGGTAGGTATGTCACTACCCACCTCTACATCTCTGAATGCTGTATACTACCAATTAAAGAAGTAAGTCGCTAATTACGTCTAGATCCTGGGAAGACTTATCTCCGCCTGCCCTGACAAATCCTTTGGCATATCTACTGCAGGACAGCGCATCCGTTTAGGAAGAAACATGCATGCACATGCACGCCGCAGAACATGAAAAGTGAATCTCAACTTTCTTCTACTGCCACGTCCAGCTGCAAACTTTAACGCACTTTAACTGCGCCACATTTAGTAAACCGATTAAATCTGTTTACACACCATGCCCCATTAAAAACTCCCTTAGAAAAGTGAATCTTTGTCGCGATGCTCTTTACGTGTCCGTATACTCTTTCACAAAGAAACCGGAGTTACAATGATACCCAACTTAGCCATGAACCACACCAGCAAGTTTGAACGGCACGGTAATACAAAAAAATGCAACAGGAACGCGTTACCTGTCTCTGCTGCCCTAATTCCAGCACAGCAAAAATGTAGTATAAAAAAAGGCAGCAGAATCCAGTGTGGTTCCATTTTTCTCATAGTGTCGGATCGCATGAGCAAAAACCGGGCTCGGTGATCAGCTAGTAGAGCCTGTGTGTCTCGCGGTAAGTACTTTACCGTATATCACAAAATATATTCGCAAATCCTTTGCTCAAGGAGCGATACTAACATTGGCTTTTATATTTACATATATAGCAGACACTTCTGTCTAAAGCGACGTCAAAGTGACATTTCAAACATTCATGCTGTCAAGGAGTCAACTAGGCATAAATGCAGCTATGCTGAGTTTACAATGAGTGCCCAGGTACAAGTGTAAGCAGTTTTGGAGCAGGAGATACCCAACTACATACTTACACAATAACTAACAACAAACCAAGAATCTAACAAGACTATTCAAGGTCCAGTAAATGCAACATAACAGCATTCAAAGAACAATCTAGATAATAAAAGAATCCATGTAATAGATCAGTCTTAAGGCATTTCTTGAAGATAGAGGAAGAACCTGATGAGCAGATAAGAGAATCATAATTTTTTTCCCTGATTGTTACTATGAATGCAGTCTCACTGACAAAGTTGGAGTACATCCTCACTTATGTCTCCTTTTCATTGGTTCACCACTTATTTATAGCCCAGAAACCACTGGTCACCTAAACATGGTTTCGTGCTGGTAGGGGAGAGTTGTCACTCTATGTAAGGTATCCCACTCCGACGCAAACACGTCCTTATCACCGCCTGCCATTTCTGTCTCGGTCAGGAATATGCTGTTAATGAGAGGCTCTGAAGCAGCTCAGATAGGTGGTACGGTGGAGTCAGTTTAAACAGAAGCTGTCACTCCTCTGAGGGAAACATTTCTCCTTTCAGAGGTGGCCACCACTATTCAATCCCCCTTTTTCTTCCACTTTCTGGTATTTTCTTGCCAGAACATGAGAGCCTTCTTACTCTCCTTCTTGCCCTGTCTATACCTGGTGCCTCCATGTAATCCCATGAAGGGCCTGGAGTTCCCCAGCTTTGATGGCAAGGACAGGCTGATCAACATCAATGAAAGAAACTACAAGAAAGCCCTGAAGAGGTACGACGTGCTGTGTCTGCTGTGCCACCAGCCTCCTTCTACCAGCAAGAACCTACATAAGCAGCATCTGAGCAAGCTGGTCCTGGAGGTGAGGGGGTATATGGTAAGGGGGTGTACGGTGAGGGGGTATACTATACTTACAGAGAACTAGAAGATGCATTAACCCTACGTCCTTTAATAAAAGGAACATTTAATAAAAGCAGCAAATTAACTCCCCATGACCACCTTAAGGAGCTAATAGCTGTCTAACCCTAAATACACAAACCTGTATAGTTATTACAGAACGAAACATTTTATTGGGCACAGCACACAATTATGCTGAGTAGACTCTGATCACACCATAGTTGTTCCAAGGTCAGTCGCTTTCACAGGATCAACTTTTTAATTGCTATTTACTTTCCAATAAATAAGCGATACTATGTTTCTTTTTTCAGTGCTGCCCCAAACTGTCCTGCTAGTTTTAAGTGCCCTTGAGATATACAAATGTACAGTACAGGATTGCTCTCTTGAGACACGAAAAGCTGTTTATTTGAAATATAAAAAGGTATTATTTAAGAATACATTGTGTCCAAAATTGAGTTCAAAGTGAATGTTAGGTGATATTCAGTTTAACCTGCCTGTAGATTTTCTGCTGTCATTCCTCTCAGCCTTCAGTTAAGTTTGCTCTTTCCACTCTACTAGTGACTTGACAAGTGTGCTGTTTCTCTGTTTAGATAACAATTATACAGCTCAATTTTAACAATTTTTCTGGCATTCTACCTAAAAAGCTCCAATCAGTGAACCTGTTACTATTAATAGGATTGTTTAAAAAGTTTTGATTTAGATCAAGTGTATTGTCACAAAAACCCAGACATATCCTAGTGTTTGTCTTGAATCCAGTAGCAGAGTAATAGTCCCCCCTTAAAATGACGCAAGAAGACAGGAATAAAAGTAGATCTTAAAATCTACTATAGTCCACTCATGTGGTCTATACAGGGAAATTATTTTCTTGTCCTCTTAGATAAGAACCAGAACACACCGAGAAGCTAATGCAATAGCAACAACTGAACTTAATTAGGGAATCAAAACATAAGCAGATGGACTGAAAGATGGACTCTGAAATTGTCCCCTGACACCCTCTAGTGGCCAGGTTGTGACATGACAATAATTGGTGCATTCATGTGTGTGGTGCATATGTACATTTTTGTCTGTGCCAGGCTTTTGGAAGTAGAATATGCTAGCGATGCCTGTGTAGAATAAACCATGTTACCGTAGAAGGAACTGTGCAAAGAAAACAACCATCTCCAGCCATTGTTTTACTTCCTTAACTTCCATCTGTGCATTTTTTGTTAAGAAAGAATACACTCAAACTAAGTGAGATATGTAAGAAAGAACATGATGACGTTTTGGAGATGAGAAAATATCATTCCCCTGGTCTGGTCTGTCTATCAATGTCTTTCCCCTTAGCTCACTGCCCAAGTCCTGGAGGACAAGGACATTGGCTTCGGAATGATCGATTCCCACCAGGATGCTAAAGTGGCTAAGAAGCTGGGTAAGCACAGGAAATGATGCAATAAGGCACGAAAGTCCTGCTGCACCACTAAAAATACATGCCGTGTGTAAAGTGAAATTAAGTATATCGAAGGAACTATTTTTTTATCATCAATATTTTGTTTTGCCAAAAATTTTTCCAGAAACAGCCAGGAACGACTCATCAATTTCTGTTTATTGCCCTTATTTGAAGTCAAATAGCCTGGTTAAACAATTTTGAGTCCTCAGGGTTAGAGGAAGAAGGGAGCCTGTACACCATCAAAGAGGGGCAAGTCATGGAGTACAAAGGGCGTCTCTCTGCAGACACCTTGATGGGGTTCCTCTTGGATGTGAGCATCTGAATTTACCAGGAAAACAGGGGCTGTTGTAGCCATTCAGATGCAATTTTGATGGTTTTATTTAGACAATTTACATTGTGGTAATTTAACGATATATTGCCCCCCCCAGCTGCTGAAAGAACCAGTGGAGCTCATCAGTAGCCCAGTGGAGCTGCGTGCTTTCAGCCGTATGCAAGAGGACATCCGTCTTATCGGCTATTTCAAGCGAGAGGACTCGGAGCGTGAGCGTCTCGCTAACATGGCCATCCTGCTGTCACAGTCTTCATGTGCTATAACGATGTGGTAACAAACGGAAGGACCAAACTCCTCTCTCGTTTCTTAGACTTCAAGGCTTTTCAGGAAGCTGCCAGGAAGTTCCAGCCGTATGTTAAGTTTTTCGCTACCTTTGATAAAGCAGTAAGTCGTGTTTGCTTCTTCTCCAGAATTTGCCCTTTAATAACAATCCCAATGAAATGTTTTTAAGCAGATCTGTGTGCTATTTGATGCGCTGCAGGTGGCCCGACAGTTGACTCTGAAGATAAATGAACTGGATCTCTATGAGCCTTTCATGGAGGAACCAGTAACCATTCCGGGAAAAATTCACTCTGAGCAGGAAATTGTGGATTTTGTGACAGAACACAGAAGGTGCCCTTGTAGGAATGTCTTATCGTGCCTGTACTGTACATACAGTGCTGTGCCATGAATTTTTTGCTGCACTATGACTGTGGTCAGCTGTCTTAATGTGTCGTTTATAGACCTGCCATGAGAAAGCTGCAGGCAGGGGACCTGTTTCAGACCTGGGTGAGCAGCCACTTCCTGTATCTTCCACATTTGACAGTCTGAAGCAGTGTTTGCTAGGGTGACCATTTAATCCATGTCAGGGACACTTTGAGCTAGGACAGGGTTTGTAAAGTACCGTTTCAATTTTAAAGACCTAGATTTCACTTTAATACTGAGTTCTTGCTGTGTGCTGAATGGTCAGTCATGTATCATGTTTCATGCATGTGCCACTAATGTTAATGTAAGTCTTTCAATCAAGGAAACAAACCAGTATAAGAACAGGAATTGAACTAATTAGCACAGGAGCCTTTCAGTTTTATAGTAGTTTGCTCAGAATACCCCCCCCTGAGATGGATTAAACCCTTGATAGGTGGCCACTCTAATGTTTCCCAGTCTGGGTCCTCAGGGACCCGCAGATAGTCCAGGTTTTTGCTTGTCTGTGTTTCCCCGAGGACCCAGTTGGGAAACACTGGTCTTAAAGAACAGCAGAAAAAAATAAAGATAAATAATGTCACTCTGGGAAAAGAGTTATCCAAGATTATCAATATTTTCAAAACAATTAATAATTGTGCATAAACCTTATTGAATAATGCATATTGTATTTGTTATTCTTTAGATGTTATTTGACACACTTGCATCCCTGAATATCTTAACTTTGTTACGCTGGGCTGCTTTAATGCTCTCTGGTCTCTCCTTCCCCAGGAAGATAATGTCAATGGTATCCACATTGTGGCCTTTGCAGAGAAGGAAGACCCTGGTAAATCATGACAATACAGCAGTTTCCCAATCCGGTCCCCGAGGACTTCACTGGGAAACACTGCCGTGCAGCAGTGGACTTCACTGGGAAACACTGCAGTACAGCTGTATCAGTCACATGTCCAGACACTGCGCTGATGTTCCCATTGTTCCTTTAACATGGTCTCAAAGTTAAACCCTCCAGAAATGTAATCCCACCCCAGATGGGTACGAGTTCCTGGAAATCCTGAAGGAGGTGGCAAGGAGCAACACGGACAACCCCCAACTGAGTATGTTGTGGATCGATCCAGACGACTTCCCCTTGGTGAGTGGTGAAATCATTTCTTGAATAAGACTCTTAAGTATATAAATAAAGTAATGGATTTCTTGGCTAGACTTGATGTACAGTTCCAGATTTTAATGTGCTGTCAACAATTATTTTTTCTCTTTTTTAGCTGATCACATACTGGGAGAAGACCTTTCATGTAGACCTGTTAAAGCCTCAGATTGGGGTGGTAAATGTTACAGGTGTAAGTTGTACGCGGCTCTATTTTTTTTGTTTATATAACTTTTATTACTTTCCCACTGGACATACAGAAAAGGTTGCGTTAAAGTCCATTCCTGAGTTTCTGTGGCATCACGTTCAGTACTGCTTAGCAGTTAAATTAGTTTAGTAGCGACCTCACGATTGATCCTGACCTCCTTCTGGCAGGCGGACAGCATATGGCTGAACATGGCTGCTAACGAAGATCTGCCTTCTGCTGAGGAAGTGGAGCACTGGATTAAGGATGTCATATCGGGCAAGTTCCGCACTGAGGATGATGATGAAGATGGAGGTGAGTTCAGCAAAGATGAGGAAGACGATGAAAGCTATGAAGATGGGGATGATGTAGAAGAGTATGCTGAAGATGAGGATTACGAAGATGAGGATTATGAAGATGAGGAAGATGAAGACAAAGATGATGATGATGATGATGATGATGATGACGACGATGATGATGAAAACTGTGATTAAAGAATGTTGGTCCTGGGAGAAAACATGGACAAAGATGACAGACAGTACATTTCTTGATAGACCAACACCTGATTACTTCAGAAACACCTAACTGTTCAAATGAAAAGATAATCCAGTTTATTTCAGTAGCTTTGCTAACCTCTTTAACAGTAAATGTTATACTGTTGACTCCTGCTTCTCTTTCTGTAGTCACATGACTATTTAAGTGTTGTTATGTAGCCAAAGCTAAGCAGGATGCTGAAATTTTTTTTAAAACAGCATTAAAAAATTCACATTTATTTACAAGAAGAACAATGTTTGGCCTGATTTAATAGTGAGTTGTGGCACTGCATTGGTGTTCCCTGACCTTGTGAACATACAGGGCATTAGATAGGGGATCACAGGTAAGACTTAAAGCAGGGGTGTCAAACCCCAGTCCTGGGGGGCCGGAGCCCTGTGAAGCTTAGTTCTTTCTCTCTTCCACCACAAATGATTCAGCTCAACAGCTGTGTGGTAATTAGTATGAGGTGCGAGGAGGTGAATCAGGTGTGTTAAATGAGAGGAAACCCAAAAATGTGCAGGACTCTGGTCGCCCAGGACTGGGTTTGACACCCCTGCCCTACAGGGAAGACTCCATGACCTTTAATAAAAGCACTCTGAAATACAGAGTACGACAAACATTTTTTTTTCTGTGGAGAATTCAGACTATGATCACAATAACTTCAAACATGCCAAATTCATACGTACTTGAATTTATTAGATCCCCCAGAACCACAGATGTACAGAGAGATGGATAATACACATAAAAGACAAAACAAAAGCCAAATAAAACGGAACGAAAATAAATAAGAACCAGAATTTTACGTGGTATATTTACAGAATTTACAGGAATTACAACAAGTAAGATAAATATGGCAAATGAACCGAAAGGGTTGGAAATAATTCATGTACATGCAATATAAATAGGAAGCAGAGGACCAAAGACAATTGTGTTCAGAATATTGGCAACACATACTGTATTACTGTGGAAATACAGAAGTCAAATATGCAGGGCAGGGTGCAGATAAAGCGAGGAGATCTGAGATAGTGGGTTTGGGAAATTCCTCCCAGCTGTCTGCTGTTGGAGGCGTAGCATGAGTGAAAAGCCAACTGGAGGTGGATACAAAGGAGCGTGTGAAGTGTGCGCTTTTACACCCTGCGGGGATCTGCTTCTCATCCCAGTGAGTTCACCATTGACAGGCTGGCCCTCATTGTTCTTTATGATGAGTAGGTTGGACGTAACCCGTCTCTCCTTCTGGCCTGTCCATCGAGAAAGCCTCCCCCCTGTTTGGTGTTGCTCCCCCAGCAAACAGCAGCGGTGAACAGGACACTGGCTCAGGAGTGATTCTAGGATCTTTTAAGGTGGGGGGCATAAGATGGCCGTAATTCATACAAAGGGGCTAATCTTATCATTAGCCAATGATATGTTTTGCTTTGGTAAGTGACAGGGGTATGTTCACTCTGGGGGCCAATCAGCTTTCAGCTGGGGCCAGTGCCCTTGTGGTCCCGCCCCTGCGTACACCCCTACACTGGTGACAATAATGTGCAGTGATCATTAAAATCAGCTCATGGTAATTTGGGATTCTTGCATAAGCAAATGAGTCAAATGGGACTTAGGCTAGAAAGCTTATGCAGGACACCTTCGGTCTGGTCTTTCAGTTTCCTTTCATTGTGGATCTGCAGAAAGGAAAGAAAAATGAAAACGTTTGGGAGGTGATACATCATGTCAGGTGTGATCGATGGCTGCATAGCTAATCGCTAACTGACCAGACACGCCCAAATGTGCAATTTGTTCCCCGCAATTATTCCCTGCGGCAAACCTACGGATGTCAGTCTTGCTCATGGACAACGGTTTTGCAAACTTGGTGCGACATGCAGACCCTTTGTAGCTGTCTTCATGACATCTTTGACAACATTGGCAAAGAGGTCAAAGTTCAAACAAGCCTCATATGAATAAGCCGTGCTCCAGCAGCTGTTTCTTGCTCCTCGTCTCCTCGGCAGTGCCCTAAGCACACCCCCAAGGCATTTTAATTAGGCCTAATGAGCACGAACAGCTGGGGGCAGGCACGGGGAGCGAGCTTGGAGCATTGTGCAGCGTCTCTGCTGCGGGCTGAGCCCCAACCTAGCCTCCCCGCGCCATGTCAACATGGCTGCCAACACACAGCTCAGACAGGCCTCTAAGCACCGCGCTCATCTCAACGACTGGAGAAGGAAGCGGGACTCTCCTGCCGCTGGTGCAGAATGAAGTAGAACTGTAATAGGAGCCTCTGTCTCAGGAATTACCACAATTTTAATGGAGTTTTTATCCAAAAAGTAGAGGGAAAGATTACAAGTGTTATATGTTCCTTGGGGTTCAAACCCACAACCTTTGTACCGTTAGCACAAAGCACTATACTTGTTGCACTACAGGTCAAATGACCTGTAGAAAGCTTTCTACCAGCTCTCATAACTTATCAGCTGTTCAATCTTCATGTGAATAACTTGCTGCATGTCTGTCTGGCAGCAAATCAATACAGTCTGTGGACAAACATGAAGCCTTTGTTACCCTGAGAATCTGATGTTGGGTGAAGGTCTTCTTTGGGGTGCCTGAAAGCTCCAGGTCCTGTGTGTTGGTTGTGATCAAAACCTGGCTGTGCTTTGCCACACTTGACAGACCCTCTCTGTATCTGAAGAGATGTGAAAAATTGGACATCATAAGCAAGGGACGGTGGCATGTTGACAAATCATTTCCTAGTAATTGGAAGGGCGACAAGTGAGTTTCTGGCACTCAGCACATTATTCTGGTTAACATTGCAGTCACCTGTTGGTAGAGGTTCAAAGAAGAGGACAAAAGGTTAAACGTCAAACAGTTCTTAAAACCTACTATAGTTCCAGGTCCATGCAAAATCTCATAGAATATTTTCTGAAGTATCTCTAATCAGGGGAGCAATACAATTCATATCAAATACACAGGAATTCTTCATCGTGGTTTTCCAGGTCCTCTTTAGCAGAGCGAATCAGCTACTAGAACACATCTGATAATTTGGTGACTAGCTGACGATGTACCTGGAACTAGTAAATATATGCTCTGGATATTGTCATTCTAGCATTACCTTTTAATGGGTGTGGGCTGGTTAAATGCATGCATGATTCACTAACCCTACCCAAACCATGACCACAATGCAAAGGACCCCAGTGCACATAAAAAGGTGAATTGTATAAATGCTAACAGTGACAAAATGACAACACCAGGGTACCTACAGAATCACAAACGGAATTAATTCACAGAATTATTCAAGCACAAAGTCCAAGTGATGCTGATACAAAGAATTCTGGGAAGGTGCAAACTGAAACATTCTTACCAAAAAGGGTTATAATCCAAAATGAAGAGCTGACAGTCATGAGGATGCTCTGTGGTGTGATATCAATGATTTCACCAGTCCAGAGAGGCAGCGCAATTGTGTAATTCCAAACAAACAGCAAACAGTGCAAACACTTTGAACAACAGGAAATGCACAAATAGAAACTTCCTCCATTTCCCTGTCTCAGCCCCTTCCCTTTAACCCGATACACCTAAAAAACATATTACGTTAAAGCAGTAAGGGTACTGTCTGACTTCTGGATGGTGTTTTGCCATCAGCGGGTCTTCCTGAGTGGCTGGAGGTGTCTTTAGCTATTTTTGTTGTGGTGTCAGAATTCAGGGGAATGAGGCAGGTGGCACGCAAGACAACTCCAGCCTAGAACAGCATTAGAACCTCTGTAGACAAAAGCCTTTCGGACTGAAGGCTTCCTTTCCTCTTAAAAAACCGAACAAACTTGGACTAAAAGCTCTTTACGCGAGACGTGATTTCGCTGAGCAGATCAGCAGAGGGCAATGTGATGATCCCTTAGCATGCTGACACTCCTCTTTCGCTGGGTGTTTGGTGGATGTCTTCTGGAGCACCCGGCGTTCATCCTGGACATGGCTAAAAGCAGAATGCTCTGATCTGTGGTGCGGTGTCCTTGAATGACTGAAAGAGACGCAGCTTCTGAGGGAGGGAAGAACCTATGAGAGGATCAGAGCCTATCCCATACAGTACCATACAAGAAAGCCCATGTAGTGTAGAGAAGAGGTGGGACTTGAACCCTAGACCCTACATATGTGTAACAACAATTCTGCTCACTGAACCACAACTCTGCCCTGCATGGAAATCAAAAGAGCACAAAATATGATCCTTCATATTTGCAGGAAGCCCCAGCGGCCTCAAGATCACATACAGAATGAAACCCAAAACCTTAGGTGTTATATTTTAACAGCAGACTAGATAAATACACAAGCGCATGCAGCAGCTGATGAAGATTAATGGGATTCATTATTTCATCTTCGGCCATAGGTTTAGTTAATCATGCCCTCTGTTTACCCACCTGTGGGAAGGTCCAGCCATCACGGTCTAGCAGGCACAGGTGTTTATTTCATAACCATAAATAAATATAACAAACTCATTTGTAGAAACATTTCTCAGAGTACAATGGAAGAGCTGACCTGGGAGACCAGTTGGTGTGGAGCAGACACACCTGGACTGAACAAAATATTCAAAAAAGCAGAAGCATCGGTGAAAAGTTCACAATACTGTTGTTTTCATAATAAACTTGATTTTTGGTTGCTTGCATGCATGGTTTTTTAAGTAAAATTGTCTTAAAGCTAAAAAGCAATACTTCTGCTTGCCACTTCCATACTTGGCTGACAGATGGCGCTGTGTACTGAAGTATTCCAGGTCAAAAATACAAGTTACACAGGTTTCATATTGTATTGGCTTAAACAAAGCTATGCTATGTTTCCTCCAGTTCTACAGGGGGAGCTGTCATCATAGACACATATTTTGACATGTGCCCTGACCTGGAAGTAACACCATGTAACAAACGTATAGCTATATAAACAGGCCATATGAACAGCCTGGCTGCAGAGCTTGGCACTCTGTCTGGTGAGTCTCATGGCTGATCTTGATCTTGTAGTTTTCCATGACCTGTTTAGTTTGCGGGTTTCATGGTTTTGTTTCAGTCCTTAACCTTAAACCCCATTATTGTCCATTTCCCCTTTAATTCCTTGACCCTCACTTTGCTTGATGCCCATCTCTGCAAAGCAGGATTTCTTCATTAGCCAGATAACTTAAGCCAAATGTAAGAATTATCCAATAGGAATGTCACTTACCTCTCTTCCTATTGGACAGTTCTTACGTTTGGCTTTAGTTATCCAGCTAACCAGGAAATTCTGCTTTGTGGAACACCCTCCTGGTTTGTCACTGCTGGTTCATTAT